GAGAGTCATGCGTTCCGATTCATTAAACTATGACATGTGGCAACCGGAATTCACGAGTGACTTCGACAAAAAGATTACAATGCCACATCAGAAACGGCTGATTGCTGACAAGTCCGTGATCAAGAGAACATCAGTTGTACTAAGTGAACCAGTTTGCAGTCTGAAGGGGGCCTCATGTATCTATGACTGACAGCCTACGATAACAGACTTTTGTGTTGTAAAAACACCTTTATTTCAGGGCATTAGTTATAGACACGCAAGCGCACTTGAAGGTGGAAACTTATTTACTGTGTACAAATACACAGGCGACTGGTGTATCTACACGCAAGCGCACTTGAAGGTGGAAACTTATTTACTGTGTACAAATACACAGGCGACTGGTGTATCTTCGAAAGTAGCATTTCTGTACGCTCATCATCATCATCATCATCATCATCATATTCATCATCATCATCAGCCTGACTACGTCCACTGCAGGACAAAGGCCTCTCCCATGTTCCGCCAGTTAACCCGGTCCTGTGCTTGCTGCTGCCAATTTATACCCGCAAACTTCTTGATCTCATGCCCCGCCGCGGTGGTCTAGTGCAGGGTACTCGCCTGCTGAACCGTAGGTCGTAGGTTTGAATCCCGGCTGCGGCGGCTGCATTTCCGATGGCGGCGGAAATGTTGTAGGCCCGTGTGCTCAGTTTTGGGTGCACGTTAAAAAATGCCAGGTGGACAAAATTTCCGGAGCCCTCCACTACGGCGTCTCTCATAATCATATGGTAGTTTTGGGACGTTAAACACCATATATTATTCAATCAATCAATCATTTCTTAATGTCATCTGCACACCTAACTTCTGTGTCCCCCTAACTCGCTTGCCTTCTCTGGGAATCCAGTTAGTTACCCTTAATGACCAGCGGTTATCCTGTCTACGTGCTACATGCCCGACCCATGTCCATTTTTATTCTTGATTTCAACTATGATATGCTTAACCCCCGTTTGTTCCATAATCCACTCTGCTATTTTTTTGTCTCTTAAGGTTACACCTACCATTTTTTTTTCCATTGCTCTCTGCGTCGTCCTCAATTTAAGCTGAACCCTCTTTGTAAGTCTCCAGGTTTCTGCTCCCTAGCTAAGTACCGGCAAGATACAGCTGTTATATACCTTCCTCTTAAGGGATAGTGGCAATCTACCTGTCATAATTTGAGAGTGCTTGCCAAATGTGCTCCACCCCATTCTTATTGTTTTCGTTACTTCAATCCCGTGGTTCGGCTCAGCGGTTATTACCTGCCGCATAGTCTTTTACAACTTGAAGTGCACTATTACCTACCTCGAAGCGCTGCTTTCTTCCGAGGTTGTTGTACATTACTTTCGTTTTCTGCAGATTAATTTTAAGACCCATCTTTCTGCTCTTCTTGTCTAACTTCGTAATCATTAGTTGCAATTCGTCCCCTGAGTTACTCAGGAATGCAATGTCATCGGCGAAGTGCAGGTTACTAAGGTACTCTCCATTAACTCTTATTTCTAACTGTTCCCATTCTAGGCTTCTGAGAACCTCCTGTAAGCACGCGGTGAATAGCATTGGGGAGATTGTTTCCGCCTGCCTTACACTCTTCTTGATTGGTATTCTATTGCTCTCTTTATGAAGCACTATGGTAGCAGTTGATCCCCTGTAGATTTCTTCCAGGATGTTTATATATATTTCATCGACGTCCTGGTTTTGCAGTGTCTGCATGAAGGCTGATATTTCTACTGAATCAAACGCCTTCTCGTTATCTATGAAGGCTATGTATAGTGGTTGGTTATATTCTGAGCATTTCTCAATTACCTGATTGATAGTACGAATGTGGTCGATTGTTGAGTAGCCTGCTCGAAATCCTGCTTGTTCCTTTGGTTGATTGAATTCTAATGTTTTCTTTACTTTGTTGGCAATTACCTTTGTATATAGCTTGTATACTACAGAAAGCAAGCTGATCGGCCTGTAATCCAAGTCCTTGTCATCTCCTTTTTTATGTATTAAGAAGATGTTAGCATTCTTCCAAGACTCTGGTACTCTTCCCGTCAGAAGACACCTCGTAAACAGGGTGGCTAGTTTTTTCAGCACAATCTGTCCTCCATCTTTCAGCAGATTTGATGTTACCTGATTCTCACCAGCAGTTTGCCTCTTTGCATGCTCTCCAAAGCTTTTCCGACTTCTTCTATCATTACTGGTGGGGTGTCGTCTGGGTTACTGCTAGTTCTTATAGTATTAAGGTCGTGGTTGTCTCGGCTACTGTACAGATCTCCGTAAAACTCCTCCGCTATTTTCACTATCCAATCCATATTGGTAGTTATTTTGCCTTCTTTGTCCCTTAGTGCATACATCCGATTTTTGCCTATCCCAAGTTTCTTCTTCACTGCTTTGACGCTTCCTCCGTTTTTCAGAGCGTGTTCGATTCTCTCCAAGTTATACCTTCTTACATCGCATACCTTACGCCTATTAATACCTTACGCTCTTCGGCATCGGGTTATTTCCTGCACGACCCCTAAATCTGAGACTTTTCAAAGCTTCCATCAAAAACAAACACCAGGTAATGGCAATACACTGACGGATCTTGCGCATACTACTCCTGTCCGCGCACAACCGCATGGCTCCGAGAGGAACCGGACGGGGGCGCAACGGAGCGGCGAGCACTTTCAATGACGCGTAATCGACGGGAAGTTCGCGACGCATGCGCAGTTGCGAGCAGGGCCGGACGCAGCGTCCACAGGTGACTGATTCTTTTCACGGGGTCTGCGGCGCGTACGGTGAGCGCTGCTCGCCGCATTTCGTACCCGAGTGTCGGTATAAGAAAGGGCGTCTAACCACGAAACGCGGAACTTCCCCCTTACGGGCACCGCATTTGTTCGCTCGTATATACGCCACAAGGCTGAATTCTTCCCGGCTAGGAAAACTTTACTTTTTCGAGAGTGATAAAGTTAGGGCGAAAATATGAAGGCGACGGTGATTCGCGCAAAACGTGTACGAACCAGTTCTTACAACGAGGAACGAAAACAACACAAACAACGACAAAAAATAGGTCACCTCAATCCCTGACTTGGATGTCTGTTAGTGGCACTTGCAAGCCGGCGTTCTCGTGCCTTCTTATATTCCTTCGGTTAACTAAAGCATTTCTTTGCGCTGCCAATACGGATCTCAAAGGCCACGTCGAAAGAAGCGCGTAGTAAAGACCTGCTCCGCCGGGTGCCGCTACGATCCCAGCTACTCACAAGAAAGTTATCTGCTCTTTCAGTGAACTCATTGAATTAACTTTATTTCAATGACATTTTCTAGGCACTTACATTCAGTAATCGTATGCCACGATGGTATACTAAATTCAATATAGATCTTAATTCGAACCAGATAACAGCGATTTTGCGCCAGTTTTTGTTTTTTAGAAGACTTTTTCTGAATGTTTGGAAAACCACACGCAAGTGCTCGACTGAAAGGGCGTCGGAGAGAAAGAAGATGACCACTCGGTGCTCGGGCCACTAAAAAATGAAGCTTACAGAGATTCGCGTGAAGCATGTGTGTGCCGCTCCTTCCATCGAAAAAGGAAAGCAACAGCAATAGAGAGAGGAAAAGAGGTATTGAAGTCTGATAGAGAGATGCGTTCAGCATGCTTAAAGATGTGGTTATTCGTGTATGAGAAATATTGGGCCCGTATTCACAAGCCAACCTCATCCTAATGTATATTACTTGTCGATTCCATCGTGTTTAGTTTGTTTGATAAACAATGTAGGCCAGCATTCCCGAACCAATCCTGTAGTTATCTTTTACCCTAGTATCGTTCGCGCGCCCTTATGTCGCTCGCAGAATGTACAGAAACTTGAGGGAAACACGAGATTTGGAAGGTCATCCTAACTCTTCTGCAGTATACATGAAGGCGAAAGACTTGACCACTACACTCTATAGATACATTGCGGAAACATTACTTGGGATTAACCTTCATTGCCTCTATCCGTTTGATTTTAACGTTGCACACCCCACCTCTATAGAGTAGCAAACTGGACAAAGTTTATAGAAACCACTCTGCGTTTCTTTCTTTCTATCTCTTCTTACATGCGTCACAGCTGCGAAATATATCTGACGCAATGTTCTTTCTTGTTGTTCCGTATACACCAGAGTCTGTATTCCCAAAAAGCTCACATACCATAGGGTTGTTTGTAAAGATAATATCAATGTAATCCTGATGCTAAACGCATTATAGAGCAAGCCAAAGGACATATAACACTTGAGAATGTTCGTGAACTCGACCGCAGAAGTTTAGCAGAACAAATAATAAAGGCGTTTTAAAGCAACAAAAAAAAATCATGCTCAATCGTTTCTGAATAGCCGAAAACTGCGAGAGTTTTGAGAACATGTATTTGTCCGCGGTGATGTTCAGGAAGAGTATGACATTCCATTGCGCATTTGTACACAGGGCGGAGTCAGTGGCCAGCACACCAGTGGATGTAGTTAAGATGTAGGTAAATACGAACTGACATTTTTTTTATTTTCTGTTAAGTTTTGAAGTGCTCAGCGACGACAAGACACTTAGTTACGAGGTGGGCACAGCGCTGACTTTCAATAAATCATTTATTGTGCCAAGCAGTACAAGTATACAAAAGAACCATACATCAAAGCATGCAGGCGCATATGTACGTGATTAGAACTTCTAAGGCACGTTAAAGATAGACAAGGATAGCATAAAAGCGTAGAGAGAGAAATATTTATAAGATTACAAGGGCATCAATCGAAAAAAAAAACATTATCCGTCGAACACCCCGGTGTCTTGCCCTTTGTGTTCACTGCAGGTGTTAAAAAGGAATACGAAGACGCCCAAGCTCACGCTCTTTTCATGTTTTAATGTAAACGGTATTTTAACGTAAACGGTAAAGCCAGCAAGCCATGTCATGAGCTCGCCGTGAATGGCGATACATCACTGGGCCTCCCGTAAATGCTCTCGTTGAACATTTCGCATTGGAACTAAAAGAACGCAATGCTCGTATCCTCACCTTTCTGGTACCGCTCAGAGCTGCATATGGCGTGCACGGTGTCGATGGAATCTCCGACGGCGTTGTTAAACTTTGACCTCTGGTCCTCGGTGGCGCAGTCGGTCACGTAGCGGCGGATGCAGTCCACGAAGCGGCTCCACATCCTGGTCGAATGAAAGAAGAGACGTCACATGACTGATAAGAAAGCGTTCTGTCACTCTACGGCGATATCTTCGCATGTTATTTTCTCAAAGTTACACAAAACGCACTCACGTGCGAAGAAGCTAAAATTTGTTGTCGCTGGCGTTTAATAGCTGGTGGTCACAGGTGGAGGTGTACCTACGTTACAGTCGGCTTTTCCAGTACACACGGTTAACAAAGACGGAGAGAGATAAGAAGAGGCAACGGCAGAGAAGTCAGCCAGAGTTACATCATCGATCTTGCTACCCTACACTTGGAAGGAAAAAGGAAGAGAAGTCGGGAAGAACAGCGGAGATGACAGCAGGTGAACGGAAACAAAAAAAAAGTGCGGAGCGGGATTACTATACTCTTTCCAATAGGCCACTGACACGCAAAAAGTTTAGTAAGGCTTTAATTGATTTCCTGTGTGACGAAAATTTGGGTTAGACGTAGTATTAATGAGATCTAACAGAGAGTCACGCCAAGGAAATTACAGGGCATGTCATTAGGAGGAACTGTAATGTAATTGTAGAGAAAAAAAAGTGGACCAGAAGATAACTTGCCGTTTGCAAGTTCTTGCCCACGGCAAGTTATCTTCTGGTCCACTTTTCTTTCTTCACGTTTACATTACATTTACTTCTAATCACATGCCCTATACTTTCCTTGGCGTGACTGCCAATTAGATCTCATTAAAATTGTGTCTAACAAAGCAAACGAGCCCTTAAACTCACACTTCTTTCAAACAGTTCGGGTTGGCATTCTAGCACTGACCGTTCTGACTGGGGAGTGTCGTCAGGGTGGGTCAACACAACTGCTAGCGGCAGCCTGTGCGCACTGTGGCGAAGAGAGTGACAAAGAACGTGTTCCGCCGTTTCTTCGCTGCCCCAGTGGTCGCAAGCAGCACTATCCTCCATGTTCATTCAGACGGCAAAGGATTTCGTCAAAGCGACACCAAGCCGCAGTCGGCAAAGCACCGCTGTCTCTAGTCGACAGAGGAGACCGAGGTTGACGAGGCGGGTCCCGCCTGAGTCGTTCACAGCACACAAGACTGTACATAGTTAAGAAGCTCCAGTCATCCGCATCCTGATAAATGTACACATATTTTACGATCAAATCCACACACGAAATTAAAATGTATATTTAAACAACAATGAAAAACAGAACCAGAACCACTTAGAAAAAAAAATGGCAGGACTACAACGCAGCTACATCTGGTATAGAACATGTTCAGTTGCTGTCAAAAGCTTAGATACCACCAGATTTGAAATAAGCTTGATTTTCCCAGTAATTTGTGGCTGTATTTGGTCGAACTGCACAATACGTGTCGTCAGCACATTTTGTTTTCTGAATTAAACCTAAATCATGACTGTCTGACGAAGCACAGACAATATTGAGCTTATTTGTTGTCTCGCGTTCCATAAAGTATTTTACGCTGGCTGCAAATGTGTAATAAAAAAAAACGCATTCGGCCGTTTTGCGTGCAAACACCGCAATTACCACGAAATCACGCGGAATTCGTCCACGTGATTATTTTGACCAGCTGGATTTCTTCGACGTGCACCGTAATCTAAGCGCATGGATTTGTTTAGCGTTTCGCCCCCGTAGAAATGTTGCCGCCATGATCCATAGAAAATGGAGCTCGTGTCCCTGAGCTATAATGTCGGGTAAATAAACATGCACGCAATAGACCACTGCCATTATTCAAGCGCGCTCTCAATATCAAACAAAGTTCATAAAATTAACAGAGTACCTTCGGTCTTTTCAGTCTTTTTTGTTGTTGTTGACATGATGTAAGGAGATGATAACGCACATGCATTAGGCACCAGCTGTTTCTTATCCTTGATAAGTTTATAACATGCAGCACACAAGGTTAAGTCTTCGAGTGTAAGAAGTCCACAGCACATACAGTATACAATTATAACAACACGAAATACAATATCTAACTGTTAGGACATGTTATTTTTGCTCCGCCGCGGTGGTCTAGTGGCTAAGGTAGTCGGCTGCTGACCCGTAGGTGACGGGATCCGGGCTGCAGTGGCTGCATTTTCGATGGAGGCGAAAATGCTGTAGACCCATGCGCTCAGATTTGGGTGCACGTTATATAAAAAACCCCAGGCGTTTGAAATTTCTGGAGCCCTGCACTACTGCATCGCTTATAATCATACGGTGGTTGTGGGACTTTAAGCCCTACAAATAAATCAATCAATCAATCAATCAATCAATCGACCAATCCATCAATCAATCAGGACATGAGATTTCAAAACAATGTCATATGTGCATATGCGGTGATGTTAACAAACTGAACAGTAACCAATTACTGTATGAAAGCAAACCCTGTAAGGCTACCAAGGCCCACGTTCGCTAAGCGGCAAATGAGCACGGACCGAGCACCATTCACTGTTTGTTCAAAACGTCACACATAAAGAAAAAAATTAAAAAATTAAATTGTCACCCAAATACATGAAACAAAAGCGGAAGCAAACACAGGGAACGCCTTGAATCTTGAGAACACCAGTAATGTTATCAGAAGCGATTACGCCATTGCACACACTCTTATCTGGCGGAAAATAAAGTTGTTATCACCGTCATCCTCATAAATTTGAGATGAGCAATTACTCCATCGCGAGCATGCCGATTGTGTCCACATTTCCGCTTCGAAGAAAAGTAGATCACCGGAGGAGGTCACGCACATGGGAGCACATAGGGCCTGACCGTCATTTCCTGACAAGGGGCGCACACGTCGTTTCGAAACACGCCTACACACAAGCTTGGCAGCGCAGGGCGAGGAAAGCTCGACTATGTCAGCTGAGCAGTATGTACGACGCAGCGGTGGAAACCCACTCGCGAAATTCGGGCGAGGTCGATTATCAAAAGGCCTGATCTGAAACGACTGTCTTCGGCTGGCTGGTCTGAAGGAAGGCATATGCGCCCAGACTTCCTTCTGAGCGCGCGTCGCGGGCCGCGTGAATCAGGGCTTGACCAATGTGGTCACGAGCGAACGACAACCGCACTTGTAGACGGTAGAATATTGGTGGTGTCGGAAATTTACTGTGCGTGTGCAGACACTCTTCCTCGAGGGCTTAAAGCCGAATGTGACCGAAGTGACAAGCAAAAACCGGAATTGCAGTTTTTTTTTTTTTTGGGGGGGGGGGGGGGGGGGGGAGGTACATTTGGTGCTTAGCAAGCCTGAAAAAACTGCGGAAACTGCACTGCACAGAACAAGGTGTTCCTTGTTGGCTAGTCATGAATAGCTTCACACACACAAAAAATTAAGATCATTGCACTACAATTTGCGACTTGGCTTGCAAAGTATCTACTGCAGAATGCACACATATTGTTAAAACAAGACTTGGTGGACACTGACACAGAGAAGCCTTTGTGGGGAGCAGTATAGTGCACAGTTATCTACGAAGTGGCGTGTTATCCTCAGCACAGTAGGTGTGACTTGCATAGAAATAAGAGCTTATGATGGTTTATAGCCATGTAAAGGGAAGTCTCACCAGGGTCATCTTGCCCATCGTCATCTTTGCGGGCCATACGAACAGCTTGTTTTCGAAATTCGATGCCTTCTCCACACTTTACACGAGAAAGGGCATCATGTGACGCTTCAATGGCTGCCAAGTCATTGCGGCATCATAGGGAACGAACATGCCGATACTGCCGCGCGGGCAGCCCTTGAAGGAACACGAGAAGAAGCCATACCACTTTCGTGGACCGATGCTGCCAGTAATCTTCGGCGAGTTGCGCGTGAAATCACGTTTTCACTATGGTGCCCACCAAGTATCGATACGAATCGTCAACAGCACCTGTCCTCTTTGATGGCTCTCCGCATGCCCACTGGACTCGACCGAAGAGAAGCCACCCTTCTTCATCGCTTATGGCTAGGAGTGGCATATACAAAATCTTATTCCTTCGTCATAGGAATGGCCGACAACGCTCTCTGCAATGCCTGTCATTGCGAAGAGACGCTACACTACATCCTGTGTGACTGTCCGTTGTATGAAATCCAGAGACAGTCACTGGCGTCCGCTTTTGCGCACATCGACAACAGCCAAATGTCTGTGGACACTATTCTGTCAAGTTGATTGATTGATTGATTGATTGATATGTGGGGTTTAACGTCCCAAAACCACTATATGATTATGAGAGACGCCGTAGTGGAGGGCTCCGGAAATTTAGACCACCTGGGGTTCTTTAACGTGCACCCAAATCTGAGCACACGGGCCTACAACATTTCCGCCTCCATCGGAAATGCAGCCGCCGCAGCCGGGATTCGAACCCGCGCCCTGCGGGTCAGCAGCCGAGTACCTTAGCCACTAGACCACCGCGGCGGGGCTATTCTGTCAAGTTCCCGAGAGAAGACATTGCAACAGTAGGCGACGAAAGCTCTGTTGAAATTCCTACGCGACACGGACTTGAAGAAGCGACTGTAACAGCAACGTCACACACCGCGAAAGACAAGACTGGACTATCACTGAGTGTGCGCGCGTGTGCTGCCGAATGTGCTGTGTTTCTCTCTTCCCTCTCTGCTCTCTATCTTTCATTTCCCCCATCCCTCTCCCATGCGCAGGGTAGCAAACCGGCTGCCTATAGGCTGGTTAACCTCCCTGCCGTTCTTTTCCCCCTGTTTTCCTTCCTTCCTTCCTTATCTCTGTGTTTCAGTTTGCTAAAGTTTATTCTGCTAATCGTTTATTTGTGTGGCGGCAAACATTGGTGGATGAACGGATGCTAAATCTTGTTGCCAGTAATCAGTCTCTTTTTTTTTTCTTGACACAGAATATAGCGAAGTTCAGTAATCGAGGTTCTAAGCACTTCAGTCTGTTCACAACTTCAGGGCTCTGGAAAGCCTAATTCGCATGCTTCTTCTTCAATACAAGATGACTCTCCCACAAAATTTGCTTACAATAAAAAACGTGGTACCACTTTTTATTCATATCTTACTTCGTTGGAGAGTCATCTTATTGTGCTGTTTTAACCGGTCAATCGAGTGTGCTTACCAATAAACTGTTGTCATACGTAGGCTCATTAGTACTGCAAGTCATGTGAACTATTCCAAGTGCGCTATATCTGCAGCTTGTACGTAAAGGAGAACGAAGTGTACGCTATAGTATAAAACACTTATCGATGCATTTGATCGTATTTTCCAATAGAGTTTAGCCGCTATTTGCCACTATAACGGCGCTAAAAAGCCGCTGAACATAAATGCATCAGTTGTAGAATGCTCAGGCCATGTTCACGCGTTTGTGTGCACGCGTAATACATCGGTGCCCAAGTGGCGAATCCTGCGTGCAGCGAGTATACTCACTTGCACATGTCGTCAACGTCCTCGATGGTGGTTGGGAACATGTACCGCAGGTCGTTCAGGAAGGGCTTCACCAAGTCGGTGCAGTTGTGCAGCTTGGACTCGCAGTTCGATGGGCCGCGGCCATTGGTTAGGGCGGCCGCTGCGAATTCGAAACCGAAAAAAAAAATTCTGTTTTGTATACTTATACGAACTCTTGTTAATTGTTCTTGAATATAATGACAATTCCTTGTATAATAACTCTTCTGTACTATATATGGCTGCTAATTGTGGCGCCCAAGTTCAATGGCCTGGATACTTCGGCTCATTTTTAGTTTAAGTTGTGGCTTCTCTTAAACACCCAACGGCAACCAAAATAATTTCCTAACCCAAATAAATTGCCTAACGAGACAATTTCTATGTGGCCCAGGGATGTTATTCACGTGTCATCGAAATGTATGTTGTTTTCTGGTGATATAATCGTTGCTGGTATAGCGTGTTACTCAATATTTCTCGCTGCTTTTATGTTTCGATCATGCAGCCCCTGCAGGCGAGCCAATCCAGGTATGAAACAGCTAAAACTCAATGGCTCGCTACCTGGTCGTTCTCACAAGCTCATATTACGAAACGCTTATTCTCAACCTTCCTTTCTCTCCTCTCTTCCACAATGGCATTGTGTGCATACCGCGCAGCTAGATACGTTTTCACCGAGCTACAGTCTGTGCAGTAAAGTGGTTAACTAGTACACTTATTGCATTTAGGCAGTGGCACCTCCGGAACCTGTTCAACTGCTATCGAAATGAGAAAAAAGACTCAATAGTTCGATCTTAATGAAGATAAGTAAAAAAAGCACAGTTCAGATCGTTGTGTCGCAAACCTCCTTTGTATACAGTAGCCCCTGTGCATACAACTACTTCCCTTCCTCACGGGCAGCAAGCACCGCTCCGTCAATAACGCAGTCATTCGCAACAATTTACGACTACAATGAGTGCCGCAGACCTCTCAGATTCAAACCCGCACACGAAAGGCAAATCTGCTGAGGACCCGTCGGTGTGGCGAAGTAGTACAAACGTTTAGCCTTCGTCCCCGGGTCATTGTCATGTAAATCTTTGGACCCGCAACTTGCACGGCACATACGCACGTAGCCCGAGCACGACACCGGAAAATCGTTTGCTCTGGCGAGTTCTTAAGGCTCACCCGAGATTGCATCACGAGTTTCATGTCACAGTCTCGTCCTACGAAACGAGCGAGTACGCACCCCTGATGCACGGCGTACGAATGGTCGCGGCCGGCTGATCAACGAAAAAGATATGTCACGCATTTTCGCAACAGAAGTCACATGCCAAGGGTGCGTGCAGCCTTACAACTTTCGTACGTTTATCTCCTTCCGAGCCACGTTTTCGCTTCCGCGCTTGTCGGGACACCGCCGCACGCGATCGTGCTTTGAGCCGAAGCGGCAGAAAGCTTGCATCCACGTGCCGTCGTGTTTTGCGTATAGAGTTTCCTAAAATTAACTAGAGGGGACTCTGTCTCTGCGATCGTTCAGAGACCGTGGGAATGCTGGGTAGTACACACATTTGCCTATTCTTCGTACTTACTGGCGGTGAATCGTACTTGCAGCTTCGTTTATTGCTTTGTTTCGGTTTTGTTTTGACGAAAGATTCCACCCTTTTGAACTTCGTGACCCGATTTGGAAAGGTAAGTCTAAAAGAATCAGGTGGTGAAGCGCCACAGCTGTACATTTGCTGATTTTTTTTTGTTTCGTGAGAAGATAGCTTCAAGCCACACGAACACACGTGGAGCCAAAATCAGGCCAAAAGTTCGAAGATTAGATGAACGCGTGTACTACCCATCATTCCCATGTTCGCTGATGTGCCGTGCGTTGCAGCTCCCACAGACACTAGCGCCAGAGTTCACTCTAGTGTATATTAGGAAACTCTATGGTTTTGCGTACATGAATGTCCGCGTGATTCAACCGTTGGTGCTACATATATATACATGTACCCCCAATGGTGTATACCTCTTGTATTCTTCTTCATTTAGCAAAATAAAACCTTCTGTTCTGTTCTGTATGCGCGCAATTGCTTGTGCTCAGCTTTCGCCGAATTCCCAGACTTTTGCCAGCTCGAGTCATTCATTTCTTTGCAAATGTACTCGATCGGTGTGATGTTGGTGTCATCTGTTATGCACACCTGACGGGACTGTCGCGTTCTGTTGAATTACTTGAGTACTCTATAGTCACCTGCGAAATAAAAAGCTACCCCAGGACAGCTGGGCAACCACCCTGTCACAGAAAAAAAAGTTCTGAGGCTGTCGCAGCGGTTTCTAAAAGAAACTCAGCTGCACCAAAAATTGCGACTAATCATTGAATGACAATGTTGTTTTTGCAGTGGGCGCTGTCATAGTGATTATGACTTCGTAATGTCTTTCTCATAAACTCTTTTTTTTACACCCCCTCGGCTTTCCCAAAGTAGAGAAGTACAGTGTGGCAAACTAGATGCCTTGTATGGTCAAGCTCACGTGTCTTTTGTTTACCTTTCTGTCTCGCTCTCATCTGCATAAAGATAATTACTTAAATAAATCGACAAAATATCGGGCATCAGCTACGACACAGAAGGTCTGCGCAAGCATGAACCTACAGAACGCCATCCGCAGTATGTCTGCGGCTTCTGTAAGACCAGCTGCTCAGCTTATAACGAAGGCAATTTAAAAAATGATCACTCTTGTATATTTCAGGAAAAGAAACCAAGAAAACCTTACAATAAGAAGATCAACATAGATCATATTTCTTAAAAAAAAGGTCCACTTATCTGGAGAAACACATCAAAACTACCCTGTTATGTTGCACTGTACCAAGAGAAACGGAACATAGTATATCTCATGTCGACCGAACAGATAATAAGCGTGGTACTCGTATAACTATCTCACTTAGGACGGGTCGTGAGATATTTTACGACGAGATATTAATAGGTAATAATGAGTAACCCATCAACAGTTATTCACTCAGTTATGCCCTAACAAACTCAGTTCTGTTTCTCTTCAACAAGCAAGGCGGCGATGTAGTTTAGTAATGACTACCTCACCCTTTGCTTCGGAGCTCCCAGACACATGGCTGCTATTTCAAGGTCGAGCGAATAATGAAGGACGTTTTCACTGTATCCACTAACGCAAAATTAGCATTCTGAGTTATCCATTTCAGTACTCTGTCACGTGAATTGTCTACTGAAGGAGCTACTAAAGTGGTCTTGCGAATAAAATCAGGCGTTAAACAGCTTCTACAAGAACTGGCTCTTTAATTACTTTTTAAGTGAATTTTAAAACATAAGTATAATGCGACTGTCTACGACGTGGCTCCTGGTCAAAGTGATTATCACCAATTGGGCCGGGGGAGTTCAATCTACATAACTCATAGCTATTGCTAGAATTCATGGACATTTATTACCGTAATGAAGCCACTTGATGTGAACATTTCTCTGCAATTACGGTAATGAAGCTGCCACATCTAAGCGGAGACAAGAATTGCTGTGGCATACAAGCTGTGCCGCCCTCCTGCTATGTCTAGCCTTTTCAGACTGTTGACTCACTGGCTCCATCAGTGAGTAATGAATCCTTTTTCCACTAAATAACGTAAAGCGAATTCACGATAGGCGTCATCGACGTGCCTCTGAAGGTCACGACACGAGTATTTAACCTGTCACAGGGGAGCGAGCGCTGTTCCGGGAACAGACCGCGAATCAATGTCGAGCCATGAGCGAAGAGGTGGGGCTCGAAACGTGCACCGTGTGAAGATTGCGCCCTCTAGGCTACGTGGGGCCGCGCGCATTACTCAAATGATGCGGCGACACACCCAGCTTTCACGGTCATAGCCAAATCCCGGTAGACGAAACGTGCCTCGTCGGTGGGTGCGACACTCCGCGCTCGGATAGGTTCGCCACCTGGTGCGTTAAACAGGCATCCGCATAGTGACGACCTGGTGCAGTACAAAAGGCGCAGAGTGCTGAACTACAAGTATACATACTTGGTAATTATAATGATAATTTGTTGAATTTCAGGGGCGGAAAGCAGAATGTGATCTTTAGGCCCACCATGGTGTGGCTACGCACGTTTGCGTCATTGTGACATACCTCACTTTTACTCTGCAAATATGCATACGTATACAGGCACATGCCGCAATACTTTTTAAGATTTTTATTATCATAACCAACGTACGTTTTTGCAGACTGCAGTAGTGGTACAGTGATTACGAAGCTCGACTGCTAAACTTAAGGTCTGGGGTTCGACACATTCGCGGACGGTCGTACTTGAACGGGGGTGAAATGGATCGCCATGTGCTTGTATTTAGGTGCACGTTATATAATCCCAGGTGGTATGAATTTCCTGAGCCCTCTACTATGGGAACGCCATTTTATGGCGTCACACAGGCGCTTAATTGTAAACCATAGTAAAGGGACAGGAGCCTTTAAGGAAGCAAATGTGGCTAATTAGGTTGGTTTGATGAAGTAAGAAAATTTTCTGTGATAGCCTGGACCAGTTTGGAATGTTGCTGGGGTGATTGAACAATAACAGAGAGTGTTCTGTGTTGTTATTTGTCACAATCGTGGTTATTGTGACGCAGGTACAGGCTTTGTAGTAGGAAAGAAACCTCATTGGCTGTTCGTAAACAGATGTTGGCTGAAGCGTATTCATCCACGCATATGGTGGTTTTTCTGAAAAAGAAGATATTGTTGCCACGCCACATCCGGCAAGGTGTCAGCCTCGTGGCCGGCATCTAATCCATTGTTTTCATCATGCGTGAAAAAAGGTAATACGCATACGAACAGCCGAGTGAACCCTGCAAGTTGCACACGTTACTATTCGCAGCTCATTGAAAACTAGCCGGTTAAGAGTAGCGGAGAAATTCGTCTGCTGGTCTTATAGATCTGAAGCGATTTATTGCGCAAAAAGCAAAGACACCGACAGCAGGCGACATACGCGTGTCATATAGCACTCGAATGCCGTCTCGTATACCTTATTTCGTGTCAGTATTTTCCACCCAACAAATCTTTTTAGCCTATAAAGCTCAAACATGAAGGCTGAAAACGTAAGACGTTTCAGAAGGCAATGAGTAAGCTATACAAATGCTTACTTATAATGTCATGTGTGTTTAAAAAAAGCGTTTAACGA